GAATCTCGATTTAATAACTTACATCGGCGTCTAAGGTAGGCTCCCACTACATTACCTTACTGATGAGTCCAGTAGTGGAAGCCGGGACGAAACGCCAACTTGTTATATTCTTCGCAATCTTATTTTTCACGGAATTTGATTTATTATTAATTTAATTTACATTAAATTAATAATAAAAATCGTTAAATTTTAATATATGTCTTTCAACATAGTATTAAGATCCATAAGATGCTATAGGCATCAAATTGTTAAATTGCTTGTTAATTTAACTTAGTGATATTACTGCGGTAGTGAATATGTATGCGTCAATGCTGAAAATCTATCAGCGTCGCCGGGGGGGACTACATACGCAGTATATAAAATTTCACACAATTATTATAAGCACGTTGATCTAGCTTCGACCGTTATAGGCTTCTTCTTCTAGTTTAATACAGGATATTGTTCGCAACAAATTGTGTTCCAACAATAAAAATGTTTTTGAAGAATCTTTGTCAATATCCACAGATGTTTGCCGTAAGTAGAATTTAAAAAAAATAAAATAAAATTCGTATTTTGATTTATCATTACTTTAACATCACATCATTAAATTTTAACAGGGAATGGAAGTAACTCGTTACTTGTAACCTAAACAAGTTACTTTTTTGGTAACTTTACTGGTAACTGCGTTACTTTTTTTTCGGGAAACTGTAACGGTAACGAGTTACATTTTTTGGATAACGGTAACGAAATTTACAGTTACTTTTATCGTTATTTTGCATTTAGATTGGGTACGTTATTCTGTTATATAACAATTACATGTGTTATTAATTACGACAGCTATAAATGTGGTTGTAGAACACACATTGAGTGTTTTTATTTAATACAAGAGTAAAAGCTATATTTAGTTTACCTTAATCTAAACATCGTACATATTTTAGGTAAAAATGTAGATTAGGGGAGCCTCCTCCAATGACCTTGACCTTGACATATGTTGTCAAGGTCATGATCCTGAGTGACCTTGAGGAAGTTTTAACCGTCGGACCTAACTCGTTAAAAAGTTATTAACAAAAAAAGTTTCAAAATTAACGTATTATTTCTGCTATACATGTATGATATGAAGTACTATTCTACACCTTTCCCTGTTCAGAAACGTTGAACTTTCCACGCGAAATAACTTTCCCCCCCCCCCCCCTCCCCCCTGCACAGGGGCACACGACTTCTACGATTGTACTGTTGCTATGATAGTACTGTCGGGGCAGACCTCTGTGACGGTGTGGGTGCGGGGGGGTGGCCGAAGGCCACCTCCTTGCACTCGCCCG